ATTGTATTGTACACTCTTTCGCTACAATCTTTTAATGTGGAAAACAAATAAAAACCGTGACAGACATCTGAGAGGTATCAGAGCACGTGAGTTTATTGTGAATTTTAACAAAGTTTAACAATTACGACGTGGTGAACAATTGCTGTATCAGTACCCAAGGAGTTTTGATGTTCATATTATTAAACTAACTAACTATTAAAAAATACTTTAGCCGGTGAGAAAATCAATTAACCACTAAAGACTTCAGGCGCAGAAAATACATGACGTTATAATAAAAAAAGTGTAAAAGTAAGAAAGAATAGTATATTATGTTATTAAGAGTAAAAGTTCATGTGGCGAAGCTAAACGTTTATTTTGCCGAACGAAGTGAGGCAAATAATGATTCATCTGACCTACATAATAGTTATTTATTCTACGAGTTTGAGTGTAAATCGGACGCATTATTTCACCGAGTGGATTTTTAAACCACGAGCACAGATTAGTTGCTTGCTAATCCGTGCCACGAGTGTAACGAGTGGTTTTTATCATCCACGAGGTGGAATAAAGCGTCCGATTTACACTCAAACGAGTTGAATACAACATTTTATTCTTCGAATTAGACCCAACAAGGCTTAAACTTGCTTTAAATCTGTTAAAAATAATCTGACGTTTCGTATTGAGAGATGCCAAACAGTTGTTAAAACTTCCTTACACGGGAGAAAAACCCTAAATTTTGACAGTGTGGAAGAATAAACTCATTTTTTACTCCAAATAACAAATACTATTTTATCCACAACGATTGAGATGGAGAGAAAAGAGCAACACAATAATTATCAAGTATAACATGACATGAAAGAGTTACAAAAATAATATAATAGTATATTATGTAACTAGTGCTATAAACGCCACTTTAGGCTTAAGTTTTATTAGGCACAAACGAAGCGTAGCGGAGAGACTGTTTAATTAAACGAATGAATGTCTAGAGCAGTGATTCTCAATATTTTTTTGTAATAATTTCAAAATTTGGCGGCACACAAAGAAAAAGATAAGTTTAAAAGTAGTTTATTTACCTATAATACACTATGTAAAATAGTTTATGATAATAATTTAGAATGTAAAATAAAAATAATATGTACTACAAAAACAACATTACGTTTATTAAGGAATTAATTACAAGTTAATAATAATAATACTTTTAATGTGAAATTGGAGCTTGATGTTTTTTCATAATTTCATTTATATTTGGTCGTAAAAATGACAATGCTACTCTCATATCGTCCTCTACATTTAACAGTCTCTATCTTTTTTTCGTTCTTATGTTGGTTAATACTGAAAATCCGAATTCAGACTGTTCGGCGAAGCTTAAGGGTTTGTGGAGCAAATAACAGTCGCTGTTGTACACCCGGGGAAAAAACTATTCACCAGTCTAACTTGGCGCTCACGCTGCGCTTTGTTGCAATAGGGTTTCCGATTAACTAGTTGAGGAAAAGGTATAAAATGTTGAAAAACCCTTATTTAGGAAGTTGGTATGGACTGGAGTCCTCCAGTTTCACACGTTTCTTGAAAACTGCGTCATGAAAAATTGCTTCAATGAGTTTGTCTCCGGATTGAGTTTACGAGTACAGGAGGATTTTTTTTATCTTTGATTATACGCCAAAACTGCAAAGGAAAAACATTTCTTGCTTTATCTGAAACGAGCAAATCTGTAATTAAAAGTTTATTATTCTAACTTAATAAAAAAAAAGTTCATTTTTCTCTTGATTTTTGTGAATTATTTTTCTGAGCGTTTTAAATCCCATCACATTGGCGGTTTCATTTTTTTAGTAACGATGTGACTTTGCCAAATGAGTTTACGCAAGTTAAATAACAAAAGCGTTTAAGAAAAATATAATTTTAATAAATGGCAATTCTAAAAAACAACTTTAACATAAACAATACAAAGTTATTTTTATAAAAATAATTATTATTCAATTAATTAATTAATTTTCAAAGTAACATCGTTGTCAAAAAATTAAATCGCCAATGTAATGAGATTTAAAAAGCAGAGAAAAATTATTATTATTATACAGGGTGATGAAAAAAAGGCGCCCACGATTGAAACAGGCGCATTCTTTTTTATTGAAACATTGTGACCATCATTCCAAAAATAGTCTAAATAGATTCTTTTTAAAATTTAAACAGTTTGTCTAACAGCACAAAGCGGCAATATTGCACAAATGTCTTTTACTAAAAAACTATTTCACTCAGGTATTTTTCGTATCTAGGAAACCTTTTTGACTTTAATCGTTCAAATTTCACAGAACTAACAACATTGGAAATTGATTTTTTTGTTGCTACCGTTTCCAATAATTGAATATTACTTGGACATTTTCTGTATCCTAGGATATTTGCAATGTTGCAACATTGATAAATTTTCTTTGGAGCCAAGAAATGGTATCCAAACATCTTCAATAAAGTTTATTTCAATTATGATGTCGTTCATCAAACAAAAATAATTTTTTCTTACTTTTTAGCTTTAAATAATGATCGCATGGTAGAACCAATCAATAATAATTAAGTTTGCATAACTTTGATTCTTCATATTTTGGCACTATTTATCAAATAATATGTCACTGTCGACGTTTATTGAGAAACAATTTCGACATTTTTAATTTCCATAGCAAATTTTGTGAAAACAGGTGTGGCTAGTAATAAATTTTATGTAGTCTTAAAAAAAAGTCCATAACTTGAAAATTATTAAATTTAGGTATAGGGAATGTTAATAAAGGTCAATGCACAGTTAAATTCTCTTCTATTTAGTAAAATAAAAATTGGGGTATTTCATTTGAAAAAATTGAGTTATGAGTATTTGAATTATTACAAAAGTAACCTTAANGGGTATTTCATTTGAAAAAATTGAGTTATGAGTATTTGAATTATTACAAAAGTAACCTTAAAATTTTGAGATATGTTATTATTCTTTCAAAATTTGAAAATACCAGAAAAAGGATCTAAGCTTTCTCTTTCAAACGCCAAAAAAACGAATTCAAAATCTTAAAAAATGGCAGAGTTACCGATTTTTAAGGTGGAAGGTGCAAAACCAAAAATTTTTGAAAAACTCTAAATATTTCAAAAACGGCTAAATTTAGGTATAGGGAAAGCTGATGAAAACTCTTTTAAAATAACCAGATTAATCCAAAAACGTAGTAAAAAATATACCTTTCCATTTAAAGTAACAAAGTTGAGACCGACTTCCGGTATAAGCGGAAGTGCCGCCATCTTAAAAATATTTTCATTAAGGAGGACTTAATGGTTTATGGCTATGAACCAATTTTCAAATAAATACGATTATTCCAACTCCCAATACTTCTAAAGTGGGGTTTAGACGGAACAGCCTGTATAATAATAATAATTTTTCTCTGCTTTTTAAATCTCATTACATTGGCGTTTTAATTTTTTGACAACGATGTCACTTTGAAAATTAATTAATTAATTGAATAATAATTATTTTTCTTAAAAATAACTTTGTATTTTTTATGTTAAAGCTATTTTTTAGAATTGCCATTTATTAAAATTATATTTTTCTTAAACGTTTTTGTTATTAAATTTGCGTAAATTCATTTGGCAAAGTCACATCGTTATTAAAAAAGTAAAACCGCCAATGTGATGGGATTTAAAACGCTGAGAAAAATAATTCACAAAAAATTAGTCCAAAATCAAGAGAAAAATGAACTTTTTTTCTATTAAGTTAGAATAATAAAGTTTTAATTACAGATTTGTTCGTTTCCGATAAAGCAAGAACTGTTTTTCTTTTGCAGTTTTGGCGTATAATCAAAGATAAAAAAAATCCTCCTGTAAACTCAGGGTTCGCCAGAACTCGCGCCCCAGAGAAAAATTTTAAGTAAGATAAGATACCAGGAACATGAAAAAAATGTTTAAAAAATTCAAAAAAATTTGACATTTATTTTTTGACATTTGACATTTTTTTATGTCTATTTAATGATACTGATGATCTTGTTTTTTTACAATTATTTAGTACAAAAATTTCCCAATAAAAGCCACAAATAACATTGAACAGAGTTACAATTTAGGCTACAGCTTCCTTGTTTCCTCTTTTAATAGCCTATAGCAAAAAAACTTGGAAAATTATTTTTCCAACAGAAATAAATAAAGTTTAAACCCTCATAACTTCGAAATTTTTATAGATAAAATTTTTTCAACATTTTTTCCAAGTTCCTGGTATCTTACTTTATATGGCATTTTCCTCTGGGGCGCGAGTTCTGGCGCACCCTGTATACAACTTTCAACTTAAACTAAAGCTGTAAATCTAAAACGTTGGTTACTTCAATGATGAATTACAATTTTACTTTATAAAATTATTGCGATGATTGTTTGTTTGTCGCTGGCATAATGACCCAATTAAGACATTCCGCTCAATGTTAAAAAGTGCTTTTATCGACTAATTTCAGTACATAAAGTTGTCTTTTATCGTCTAGTGAAATAAATCAATAAATAAATTTTTATCTACTGTTTATATTCAAGAAATTCTGGTAGGTGAGTACAAAATAAAGCGAAATATTATACACGACGATAAAGATTGTTTGTCTACTCGTGAAAGAAGTCTACTCGTGAAAAAACTCTACTCGTGACTTCGTCACTCGTAACCTTTTCACTCGTAGATAGACAATTTCTTTATCGTCTTGTATAATAAATAACTAAAAATTTAAATTCTCTGCTCCTTTTTATGTGTTTGGAAAATGCTGGAAATACGGTTAAAGATACAAGAAAATGTAAGGAAGAAAGTTGTAGAGAATAAAATTTCCCAGTAAATAGTCCATTATAGACCATACCTCTTTTAATGGTTTAGGCCTCAAAGACGTTCAAGCGACGGAATCGTTTCATTTCTACTGATGGTTGAGTTCCGGGGGAACACTTTAAAGCAATTTAAACCGAAAGCGTTGAGAAATATGATATCGAGGACTTTTTTGTAGCAAATTTTGTTCTCTACAATTTTGTTTCTTACACTTTTTTTGTATTTTTAACTGTATTTGCAGCGTTCTGAAAAATATTTCTGAGAACGCTACGAATACGGTTGAAGATACAAAAAAAGTATAGGGAACAAAGTTGTAGAAAATTAAATTTTCTACAATAAACTCCGCAAGACCATTATCTCTATCTTTAACCGTTTAGTTTTAAATTATTTTTCTGGCTGCCGACCACCGATAAAAATGACACATATTCGTCACTTGAGTGAGCGTCTTTGAACGTCTTTGGGGCCAAAACCGTTGAAGATAGAGGTATCGTCTTGCAGACTGTTTTCTTGGAAATTTGATTCTCTACAACTTTCTTTGTTACATTTTTATCTTTAACCTTTTTCGCAGCATTTTGAAAACTATGAGACGGAGCTCAAATTGGTAAATGTTTGAAAATTTTTTTTAAATATAAGAGTTTTTGCAAATCGTAAAAAAATTTAACGTATTACGACAAATTGCCGTTGCTAAGAAATCAAAGAATAAGATGTTTACATAAACGTGTTTGAATTGACGGATACACCTTTCGCCCTTGAAAGACGTACACACAATTAAATGACGTTATCATTAAGGTTAACGTTAAACTAAACGATTTGCAAAAACTCTAAAGTTTTCCATAAAATTTTTGCATTACGTTATTTCTTATTATTGAGAATTTAAGGCTATGTCTACGTATAGTTTTTTGTTTGTGTTCTGCTTACTGTTATGTAAATACAACCATTTTTTTTTATTTCATTGCTCTTAAAACTTAGATGGAAAAGGACAACTGAGCTAAGTAGCCTCACTAACTTAACGGAACGGAACGGAACGAGAAGGGAGACGTTTTGTTTTACATTGTGTCGTATTCTAGTCTTTAGATATCCGTGGTCTGGACACATCCCGATTTTCGAGCTTTGCAGCTTTGTAATCTGAAAATGCCTGCAGCCTATTTTCGGCCATAAAATACCGTATGTATTGTAATTTCAAAAAGAATTAATTAGTTATATGTATTAATTTCTAGAATTCTTAAATAATTCCTGGCAAAAACATTCATAAGAGGCTACATTAACAATCCTCAACGATGGACTTCCTAATTGGCGGTTTAGCTGCAATGGGAGCTACATTCTTCAGCAACCCTCTTGACGTTCTTAAAACTAGAATTCAGCTTCAAGGAGAACTGAAGCCTCGAGGGCAACATGAAATTCACTATAGACATGCTCTCCACACAGCTTACGTTGTTATTAGAAAAGAAGGAATTTTTGCATTGCAAAAAGGACTCGGGGCTGCACTTTTTATGCATGGAGTACGCAATAGTATCAAACTTGGCTCTTATCAATGGTTTGCCAACCAGGGATACATATATGACAGTGAGAACAAGACAATTTTTTATAAAAGCCTTTTGGCTAGTGCTTTTGGAGGGACAGCTGGTGCTTTTTTTGGCAGTCCTCTCTATCAAATTACTACTCAGCTCCAATCTCATGCCGCAAAGGGAATTGCAGTAGGTCACCAACACAAGCACTCTGGTCTTCTGCAAGCCTTCAAAGCAATATATTCAAAACATGGCGTAATAAAACTAATTATTATTGGTGAAAATATATTCGTTATTTTTTGTAGGTAAAAGGATTGTGGAGAGGTTCCAGTGCTAATATTTTACGAACAGTAGTTGGTGCTTCAGCCCAATTAACAACCTTTTCAGAAGCTAAAGATACACTCAGACAGTACGAGTTCTTTCAAAAATCCACAACAATGACTGCTTTGTTTGCAAGCATTGCAGGGGGGATTTGCCAGACTGTCTTTCAAACACCTTTGGATTTAGTATGCATTAGATTAAATAATCAGTGTAAGTAAATGAACAAAGTGGCAACGAAATTATTACAAAATTCAATAAATTTCATTGCAGATGTTTATACGAATGGACAAGGAGCTTTGTATACAGGAATGACAAATTGTTTTACGAAAATCTTACAATCTGAAGGTTTATGTGGATTGTATAAAGGTGTTGGAGTTAATTATATGAGGATAGCTAGACATACCGGTCTTTGTTTAGTATTCTGGGAACTTTTAAAAGATTTACATGTCACGTATTTCACCTTAAATAATAATGTAAAGTGTAATATATCTAACGAAATAATTAAATTGTAATTCCTTATGTAAATCTATTTTTATATCCATTATCCATTATACAGGGTATTCCGTTTTTATTGTTACAAATTGAAACAAGTGATAGGATATTCAATTCTAATACAAACGTTTCCTATAAATATGTATCCAAAGGGAGCTACACCCCCTGGAAGGGGGCTAATATGTTTTTGCTAATATTTCAGAAACCATTTAAGATAAAATTACAAAATTTGGTACAGATGATAATCTTTATACACCTAAACGAATTCAAACATCAAATGTCGAAATGTTTAATCAGGGGCATACGAAACTGGGGGAGTTTAAGGTAAAAAAATACCCTATTTATTTTGGCTTTAGTTTCTCGGTACTTTCAGCAACAAAATCTTAAGTTCAATAGTTTATCACAGAAAAGTCTCTCTTGTGTCGATACGACTTATTGTTTTTGAATAAAATTAATTTAAAATTTATGTTATACACCAATACAACATTCAAATAAATCAGAATTTACTGAATAATAAAAGCAAGAAATTCATATTTTTTAATCAACTTCAACTAATTAACATTACATTACAGTAACAATAATAACATTAATTAAATGAATTTGCCTAAATCTAAAGAAGTTGTTCAAAGTGACCACCATTTTGGTCAATCCATAACTAAAGAAACTAGAACCAAAATAGATAGGTATTTTTTTTATTTTTTTTACCTTAAACCCCACCAGTTTCGGACGCCCCTGATTAGAAATTTCGACATTTGATGTTTGAATTCGTTTAGGTGTACCAAATTTTGTAATTTTATCTTAAATGGTTTCTGAAATATTAGCAAAACCTATTAGCCCCCTTTCAGGGAGTGTAGCTCGCTTACCAAGCATTTTTCGATACATGTTTATAGGAAACTTTTGTCTTAGAATTGAATATCCTATCACCTGTTTAAATTTGTAACAATAAAAACGGAACACCCTGTAGATGTGAATTGTCAAAGTGCCCTCAGATTGGCATTACTGACAAAGTTACTTTTACTTGGCTCACCAATCGGTATTTTAACTATACTGCTCCACAAAAGTTAAGAAATTTGCATTACTTTTACTACAAACTAATTTTATTCTTATAAGCATTGTGGCTAAAACAACAAAACAGCTAAAACAATAATTAAAAAGATATCTGCCTTTATGTCACTTTTAATTAATTATTAATTTATTTTTTAATAATTTATTAATTTAATTAATTATTGTAATTACTGCACACTTTTTGAAATTTTGTGGAGCAGTTTATTTAGAGTTATGGCGGCAAATTAAAAATGAATTTTTCAAACTTTGAAAAGCCTTGACGTCATTTAATATTGTTACGTTAAAAAAGTTTAAAAGGTCAATAAAATGGCCGAGCAAAAAAACAAGGGCGCCCATGTGATTGTAAATAAATTGTATTTTTCTTAAAAAACCAAATATTTTCAAAAAAATTTATCAAAAACTCCTTTTAATAAAAGAATCGAATTAAGAAATGTTTATTAACAAAAAAGAACGCACGCAAAACTAAAATTGGACAACCTTTTTGTGGCGAAAGCGTAAACGTCTACGCATCAAACTGATCACCATTTCCTTCCAGCTCTTGGTAATCATTCTTGCGCAGGGGCCCTTGCTAAAATCTGAGTCTGGAAATGTGACGTCCGAGATTAGGCGTGTTAAGTACCTCCCCTTGCTTCTACGAACCTGTTACTCACTTTTTGTTTTTGAACATTTTAGCATTGAAATTTTTAGGATAAATTATTTTGCTTCTATTTTATTTTGTTTCAAATATCTTTTAGCAACGAACATTTTACACAAAAGTGTATTTGGTTCTTTCCGATTTTATATTTTTTATTTACTGTATGAATATACAGAGTGTCTCACACCCCACCCCACGAGTAATAATGAGCCTGAAAATTTTTTTGAAGCAACCAACATTACATTCTAAAGATAACGTGGATATTAAAATATTTAGTTTTAATAAATTAAACATAGTGACCAAACACCCTGTCTATGTGTTCCAGAAGTTGCAAGTCGGTGTTAGAAATGTTTCTTGTTTCTTCAGTTTCATAGGCGTCTAGACTCGTGTTTTTTGGTTTTGGTTTTGGAAGTAAAAATTATTTAGAATTTCCTGGATACATATTGGGTGGTATGAATAAAAATTAAGTAAATGCTAATGCTTCAAAAACGTAGTAAATTCTTCAACAAAATTCTACTCGCTGAAGAACCTACTTTTACTCAAAGTATTTACTTTGAATTTTCCGGAAGATACTAAATTCGTAGTATCTTCCATGAAAATTTTTGTAGTAGCTACTAAACAAACAAGTATATGCTAATACTTCGATTTTGCGCCTATTTGTAGTATATTCTTCACTTTTAATGAAGTTGCTGTTACACGAACTTTGAGTGCATACTAGGCGACTACTTCTCATTTTGAAATCGGTTTGTTTCCAGTTCTGTTAATATCAGTAAGTTTTTTTACTTTGCTTTTCATGTTGTTAATTTTTTTTAAACTTGATTAGTATCCAAATGTTGTTGCCGATTAAAGTTGTATTCCGTTGTAAGTTGTTTTAATGCTGCTTCTTTTTCTGTTTTAATAGCAGGCGTCATTCTTTTATCTAATAAAATTTTATAATTTTCTAACAGAACCACAAAACATAACTGTTCGTCTTCGCCCTCGTCTTGTTCAACCACCATTTCATCATCAGAAGACATTTTTAATTTATTGTCTATGTTGAAGTCTACCACAAACTAATGAAAGAAATAATGTGCACACGAACAAAAATGAGGTGGTGGTATTCGCGGAATACCTACCCTCACGCCCCTCATCCTTCGTTCGCAGTAGGTACTACTATAGAGAAGTATCTGCTCTAACAGAAAGTATCTACTTTGAACTGTAGTCTTTTGTTGCCGGAAGTAAAGTATTTACTTTAAAAAGTAGTATCTACTTCACCCATGAAGTATTTACTCCACTGTACTGTAGTATTAGCATCTACTTCATTTTTATTCATACCACCCATTATCTTCACTTATACTTGAATGACCCTCCAAATGAGTAGTCAATTTTAGTGCTAACCACAATTCTTCCCCGCAATCATTGAGACTTGGATTTTTCTCTCTGGTAAACCTTTCATTGATTTAAATAATTTTTTTCCGCTTGCGAAATTTTGATTTTTCTACGTCTAACATCTGACAGTTGTTTTTAAATTGTTAAGCTTTTTCCCTAATTTTTCTACTGTAATTTTGCAGTAAAGCTGTTCATATTGATGTCCATTTTTGGAAAAAAGTGTCTCTTTTCGTGTTTTAAATGAAGGTACTCGTACCTAATTGAAATGATTAGGTTACATTATTATTAGCTTGTTCTTGAGCTTCTGAACTTGAACTTGCACACTATCAGACATGATTAACGATGTCGACGGTTGAAATAAAAATATACCAGGTGAATAAAAAGTATGGAACCAAGCATTTTTTTCGTAAACTAAGCACTTTACAAAAAAAATAATTAGTGTAGTGTAAAGTCCAATTAAAATGTGAGCATTTATCGAGAATAACATTTTTCAAAATTTCTTTTAGTTTTCGAGTTCTGGAAATTTTTTTTTTTTTAAATGGCAACCCACTATGGTAATTTTTTTAATTAAAGATTATGATCTAAAAATGACCTCTAATTTAAAGAATTGTTTTCTAGTCAGTACTTTTTTTTTAATAAATTGTTAAAGTTGCGTTCCGAGCCCATCACGAAGATTTTCCGAACTTGAACGAAGGAGTCGTTTCATGACTTTGGTCGTTGGAGAGCCCGGTTTTTGGTGCAGGTGCTTGGGGTGGTTCTGGATGGATCAAAAAATCTAATAACAAATCATTTTCTTCTATTTTTAGTCCATTCCAAACCACCCCTAAGCACCTGCATAGAAATCAGCGCTCTGCCATGATGAAAAGTATGAAACAACCACTTCGGTTAAGTTCGGAAAATCTTCGTGATGAGCTCGGAACGCAACTTTAACAATTAATTAAAAAAAAGTACTGGCTAAAAAACAATTTTATTTAATTAAATGTCATTTTTAGATCATCATCTTTAATTAAAAAAATTATCATGGTGGGTTGCCATTTAAAAAAAAAATTTTTTTTTCTAAAACCCGAAAACTAAAAGAAATTTCGAAAAATGTTATTCTTGATAAATGGTCACATTTTAATTGGACTTTACGCTACACTAATTATTTTTTTCGTAAAGTGCTTAGTTTACGAAAAAAACGATTGGTTCCATACTTTTTATTCACCTGGTATATACAAACACTCAAGTCTTATCTTTCATAGAAAGAGTAGTAATTTTTTGTTGATAACTATACCTAATGAGGCGTAGGCTTCATGAAGCTACATTTTAAGATGGTTAGGAATGCAACCAATTATGCAACAGTGCAAATATTGCCAATTATTAATATTACATTATTTTGTAAATCTTAATGATTTTTTATGTACTTGTAGGCTTCGCTTACTCTAAACTGGCAATAATTACAATAAGTGTACAGTGACGGAATTAACATTTCGGGCAGTATTGTCATTTTCATAATGTAAACTCTAAAACAACTTTTATATTAATAACCTCATTTTTTATTCTTGTCATATGTTTATGTCATTTTGACTTATTTACTTTCAAAAATAGTGATTTGTGGCATAATAATGGGTAGCCAGCAGATCAAAGCGATTTAATTACACTTAGTTTAATTAATAAATTTTCTAAGACAGACAAATTATTTAATAAAAATTACCTATTTTAACAACAACAAAAAGTTTAATTGTCAAATGTCAGTCATGATGACAGTAAAGGGTAGTTTACAGTGAACTTTTTAAAGTGAGAGAAAAATACTGCCCGAAATTCGCTACTGTACCTTTTATTGCCTTTCATAAAGTAAGATTAAATCATACACAAAAATATGGTGTCGAACACTATTTCTTATTTACTAACATTATTATCTTTTAGTGTTCACGTAAAGATTTTTTTGGTCAGTCAGAAATCACACAGCGTTTTATATAAAATTGCAAAATTTAAATATCTACGTGGGTACTACCTGCGCACATGCGCACAAAACTTGCCACAACCACCTGTAAAAATAATGTAAACCTGTTGAACTTTTACGTTTGTTTCGCCACAGAAGTCAATGAACTGTCCAGAAATATGTCTCTGCACGGTTTTCATCCGAGACGTGTTAAAGAAAGCTATACCGAATCGTGAAGAGTGAAGAAAATGTGTTTTTGAATGAGATGAAGTAAAACAACACAATATTAAAAATCCTCTTTTGGAAATCTACATTCTCCAGTCTGTTATCTAATATGTAAATGGAAAATTAGATAGGTAAGCAGTGAAGTATCAGATAAATATTTGAGGTTACGGTGAAAACAATTCCAGATTCACAAAAATGAGCACCAATGAGGAAAAAGTCAACAGAAAAATGCATGAACTCTTTATGCAAGTACTGAAAAACAGAGACCTTTCAAGAGCTGGAGACCTATTTTCCGTCCCAGATGCGATCATTGTCAATGATTTAACCAATGTTGTAAGTATTTATGTAATTAGAAAAATATTGTTTTACAATATTTTACGTGATTTGTTTGTAGCTTAAAGAAATCAACACAATCATATCCCAGCCCGATTATACAAATAATAATAACGACCAAAGTGTGGTAGAAATATGTGTGACTCGAGTGACCTCTTGTATTCGAGAAACTGGAAGTGTGGAACAACACTGCAAAGCCCTTGTCACCCTTCTGGAGTCTTGTTTGCACCATAACCTCCAACTTACGTCCAGGGATGAGGATCCGCCCCATGCAAAAATTTCCAGTGATATTATCTCCTGTATATTCTTAGTAAGACTTTATTTAAACTTAAACCATTTTTCTTCATGTATATTTTTACAGAATTATAGTAAAAAGTCTGTGATGCAACGTGCCTTACCTGTAGCTGTAAAATTCTTACATAAGGGCAATAAGGAATTATCCCGGAATATGGCTTCATATTTATCTCTAGCAGCAATAGAACATGCATCTTTATTAACACCACATGTACAACCAATTATGGATTCGATCATTTCAGGTGAATTTTATCTAGTTTTGACTGTTATTATAGTTAAAATGTAAAGTTTTCTCTTAACTTTCACACAAGTTATGAATAATGTATTTTGATCAGTGGTGCAATTACAACGCGTCTTGAACACTATTTTTAGGCAAAATTTGGAATAATGAAATGTAAAACTTACCTGAAAGAGACAAGATTGTGGCACAACACCTAATTTAATTGAGAGATATCAAAATTTTTGTTTTTTATTTGCAAAATATTTGCCACTTGATTATTTCAAATTACTATAATGCAATTGGGCATGTGTAAGGTCTGAAAACCGATTTATTCCCTAAAATTGGCATTTATGTCTCTCAAATTAAGAAATTATAGTTATAGAAAACACTATTTTTCGACTTTTCAAACATTTGTTTTTTTTTTTGCACATATGCAATAATCAAGTAGATAATTACAAAAATTAATGCAAATAAATTAAAAAAGTATAGTTAGTTAAAAAGTTAAGTATTTTAACTTTTAACGGCTTTAGGTTGAAGTTTTATTACAGAATATATACACGAAATATTTATTTTTGTCATTGTTTTTACACCCAGTCAAGGTCATGTTACTTACACTAATTACAATTACACTTCTACTCTTAATGACATAATCTATTAGTTTTTAAATATTAAAAAGTTTTATTTAAAGGAAAAGTGTTGTAGCTAACTCGTTTGCCTTAGTAAAAAATCTTAGTAAGCAGTGTCAATTTTAATTGCTTAAAAAATGAATACAAAAAGTAATAAGAAGCCTAAAGAAAAGGTTCGTATCACAATGGAACATTTACTAGCCTCTGTCAGGGGGCGCTTCCATATTAATGTTATTACTTTATTTGTTAATCGAAACTAGTATAATACACGAAAGTTTTTATTTTATTAAGCAATATAGTAAATCGATTATAATTTTATGTTTATTTTTTGAAAACTGAAAAGTTCCAACAATATTGAAAAAAATACCATTTTGAAAAGTATTATATTGTGTATTTGTTGTTAAAATTATAGCAAATAGGTAACTTTGAATCTTTCTACGATGTGAGCAAAGCATACATACATATAATCGTTTTCATATTAATGTGCATCGAAGTAGTCGTTGAAAGGGATCATTTTAAGGTGGCAACCATGCGAAAATTCAAACAATCCCAACCTCAATCTTCCTTAAAAATTATTTTCTCAAATAAATGTGTACCCCAGTCTTTGAGGTAGCAAAAATAATTAAAATTGACAATAGGGTGGAAAAAATAAAGATTTTTGTCATTATTGATGTGATTAAATTTGTTCTGAATGACATTAATGACACTTTTTGTGTGAATCGGCCTCTAATTTAAAGAAGCATTTAGAATTCTACAACCTACTTGATGCACATTAATATGAAAAAGAGTATATACGGTAAATGTAAAGTATGGAACTAAGCGTTTTTTTTTTTGTAAACTATCTACTTTACGAAAAAAATAATTAGTGCAGAGTAAAGGAAAATTAAAATATGATTGTTTTTCAAGAATACATTTTTTGACCACTTTGGATAAGTTCGGAAAATTTTTGTGATGAGCTCGGAACGCAACTTTAAGAATTTATTTAAAAAAAACTACTGGTTCAAAATATTTTTTTTAATTATAAGTCATTTTTAGATCATAGTCTTTAAATAAAAAAAATTGTAACAGTAGGTTGCCATTAAATTTTTTTTTGCAAAGTTCAAAAACTAAAAGGAATTTCGGAAAATGTTTGGTTCCATACTTTTTATTCACCGTGTATATTAAAAGTTATGAGAAATTTTATTCGAAACTTCATCGTCATTTTACTAGCAATGCTATCTTTGGTGATGATGTCAGAGCTTAGCATCAAAAACTGGAGACAGATCCTTATCAGTTACATACTCTAATAAGAGGAGTACCTTTACCACATTTTAAGGTCATTGCGTAACAACAAAAAAAAGTTATTATTATTCTTATGTCTCGTTTCATTCAATTATGGAATGCGGAAGAGTGTGACTTGGTTTACTAAAAACTCAAGTTTTATGCAAAGCTTTTCTGGCGCCACTTTTGGAAAATAAATCTTTTTGTATTTAAATATTATAGCAAACACTCAAACATCTAATTAGCAAAATTTATTTAAATATTCAAAGTTCAATAATTTTTCACAAAAAATTGGCCTGCTTGTGAGTAGAATTTTTATGTTTTTGTAAGTGATCTAGTTGGGAGCATAGATGATCTTTATTCTAGTACAAATTTTCGTTTTTAGGCAATTATCCACTGTGCAGAGTCCTTCCCAACATTTACGAAGTATCCCCCGAACCATTCCAAGGCCATGCAATGGCTTTAGTGTCTCTTCTTCCACATTGTGATAATCAGGAGAAACTGGCACTCTTACATCTATTTTCTTTAATCGCCAAGGATAATCCTTCGGTAAACAAATTTTTTTCAACGTATTGTTGCTCAATCTTCCACATTTGAGAAAATTGAAAAAGCACTATTTAGGGACGATAAAGAGATTGTTTATCTACATACGAGTGGACTTATGTCACGAATAAATAAACAATCTTTATCGTCGTGAAATACAACATTTTTTTCAATAGCAAGACTTCAAGTTTAAGAGAAAAAAATTATATTTCAAAGAAAATGACAATTTTTGGCACAAAAATTGCAATTGTGTTGCTCCGTTACCATTGGTTACTAAAACATTTCATCTACCCTTGCTGTTAAAGTGTTACTTTATGTACCCTTGCGGTTAAAGTGCTGTTTTATCTACTCAAAAGAGTTGTTAAAGAAATAGCATCTACTACTATAAAAAAATATTTTATTCAATCCTCTATGTTAAAATTGAATTTTATCTACCCTTTTCTTCATGTTAAAATGAAATTTTATCGTGTAGATGATAAAATTGTTGCATATCTGCGGTTTTTAGTTGACATCTTTGACATTCATTGTTGAATTTTACTTTGACATTTATAAATATCGACCAAATTGACTACAAAATTAGTGAGGATTGAATAAAATTTTATATTGTACAAGACGATAAAATTTTCATTATCTTTTCGAGCATTTTAGCATCTCGGCTGACGCCTCAACGTTAAATTGCTGTCAAAGATAAAATTCAATTTTATCGTCTTGTATAATAAATAACTATAAATTAAACATTAAAAAATATAAAAATAAACATTAGAAAAAGTATAGTATTAAACTCGTGAGAATGGACTATTTCCACTCAGATGAATAACTACACTTGTCTTCGGCTCGTATCGTTAATTTCATCTTCGTGGAAAGGGTCAACTTTATCAGTCGTTAAATACAGAGTGGAATTTTTAACTGGAAAAAAAGTTATACAGGGTTATTCATAAATATGAAGCAATATTTGAACCTCAAAAATGACCTATAAAATGATGTTAATTTAAATAATAACTCGTGTCCTATCTCTACTGATAAGAATTTTACAGCCCTCGGAATGTGGGTATGGAAATTTGATTTTTTTGTAATAACTTTGAAACTATTTAACCAAATATTATAAAATTTGGAACATTTCCTTGTGACAACATACCCTTTGAACTGGTAATCACGAAAACCGGATACATCCACTCAATTTCCGGTTCCAGCAGTTGCAGGTTATATTTTCTGTGTTTTTCCATTTTTTTTGCTCTCTTAACACCAATTTTTTATCGCCCAAATCGATAGAGTAATCAATTTCGATTAAAAAACGCATAACCTTTTATACCACTAAAATGGACCGTTTTAAAGATATTTTAATTTAAAGTGAGTACTGCACAACGCTGAAAATGAAAAATATGAATTTTGAATAAATGGTATCCACGGCAACCAATGACCATGGTCCCATAAATCCCTGCCAGGCATCTGTTAACTTTGACAATAAATTTTTGTGAATTTTTTATGAATTAAATGCTACGAGATCCATTTGGATTTATTCTAGGTTATGTTTGGAATTTGAGGTAAACTCTTTTATTAAATATTTTCGATTAATTGTCTAATAATCGTCCAATGTCAAAGTTGACAGATGCCTGACAGCCATTAGTGAGACCATGGTCATTTGTTACCGTGGATATTACTCACTCAAAATTCATACTTTTTGCTTTCAGTGTTGTGCAGTCCTCAGTTTAAATTAAAATATCTTTGAAACGGTCCATTTTAGGAGTATTAAAGGTTATGCGTTTTTTATTCGAAATTGGTTACTCTATCGATTTGGGCAATAAAAAATTGGTGTTAAGAGAGCAAAAAAATGGAAAAACATAGAAAATGTGACCTGCAACTGCTGGAACCGGAAATTGAGTGGATGTATCCGGTTTTCGTGATTACCAGTTCAAAGGGTATGTTGTCACAAGGAAATGTTCCAAATTTTATAATATTTGGTTAAATAGTTTCAAAGTTATTACAAAAAAATCAAATTTCCATACCCACATTCCGAGGGCTGTAAAATTCTTATCAGTAGAGATAGGACACGAGTTATTATTTAAATTAACATCATTTTATAGGTAATTTTTGAGGTTCAAATATTGCTTCATATTTATGAATAACCCTGTATGTGTCTGTGCATTTTAGAAAGCAGATAAACAAAAACCAAATGTTCAAATGATGAGCAAGGAAAAATGAAAATCGACCTGTTCAAAAATCGCTTATATCCAAATTATGAATTTTATTATTCCAGTTAAAAATTCCACTCTATATACAGGGCGATTCGGATAAGATAATGAGCCTGACGATCTGGCGATGCAACTCAAAAAACAAATTTCATTTACGTTTTGATCTAATTTTAATTACGATTTGCATTTGCAATCCAAGTTGTCTTATGTTGCTCTGATAGTGCTTTGACAAGCAATTTATGATTTATAAAAAAACTGTTTGCCTACCTTTAATGTTTCATTGTTTCATACATTATGTATTGGGTTTACACCCAAAAAGACTTCTCTATCATTCCGCGAGAACTGAATGGCAGTAATAATCGTTTTCTGCACTAATGTCAGATTGACACAAGATGATAACTTGGATTCCTAATCCTAATTGAAATTGGATCAAAGACGTAAATGTAATTTGTTTTTTGGGTTGCATCGCCAGATCCTCATTATCTTATCTGAATCGCCCTGTATTATTTTTCTACAGTGCGATCACAAAGTCTTTCTTTCAAGTCGGCATACTAGTTGAGGACGTAGATCACCTATCAGTTCGTATGTCAACTACATGTCAAAAAAATTATTTTATAAAAATTAATATTGATGTAAGTAAATTGAATTACTGGATGAAATGTCTTAAAACACTCTAAAATGACATGTAATTGGTGTTTATTCATACAAATGGTTTACCACGATTTGCTGTTACAGTTTACATAAAAATTATTTTGACATTTCTTATATGTCGTGACATTTTATCTTCCGCAGACACACGTTTTAAACGTCTAGGGTTGCTTGATAGTCTGACTTTTTGATTGCACTGTTTTTTTTTAAATACTAACAATTTTTTAGTTATTGGAAGCTAGCGTGCCCCAACTTTGTGAATATCTCAGTAGTTCAGTCACCGCTTCACCAACCTTGCAAATATTCCTCCATATGGCTGAGAAGAAGCCGGCGTTGTTAGTAGATCACATCAATGCAATGAAACAATCAGCGGAAAGACATCCACAGACTGTTTGTCTAGCAGCTCAGATTATCGGAGCTGTAGGAAAATTAAGTAAAGTAGGTGGTTGAAAATTTGAATCGGAAATTTTAGGTAAAATTATTTGATTGTAGGATAAGGCCCAAGATGCTTTAAATTTTGTACTTGAATATTTACCAAAAGCCGACCGAGGTTCCCAAAGTACGTTATTAAGAGAGGCTACATTGTTGTGTAGTTCTTATCCTGTCTTATTTACTGATAAGGTTTTGGCTGGAGTAAGACAAAGACACCACACCAGGTATAATACTCATCTCGTTTAAATGTGTTAAAGCTTAAGTAAAATTAGTAGCAGTAACCAAATTAATTGCAACAACAACAACACCCAAAACCAAGTAACATCAGGTGGTGTTACAATTGTTAAAGTTGGTGGTATTCAGCAAAACGCACCTGTGCAACAAGGGGGTTACACTCGGAGAGCTAAATTAGGTGATTCGAGGAGTACTGGGAGATTGCATACTGCTCAAACGACAAGCACTCATCGCAGCATGACGAAACTAAACATTCCAGGTAATTTTATACCGAGTGACTGTAAATGACTGTGATTTTTTGTTGGCTGAAATTTTAATTTGGTAACTGTGACAAGAACAGGCACTGGCGTAGCCGTTACCTGAAACAATCTAAAATTACAGACTGGAATTCAATGTTGCCAATAGATTTTTTTGTTACAATTATTTACAGTCACTTTATATTATTTTTAAATGACATTATTAAAAATTTGTTACAGGAGGCTCGATTGGTGGTCTTCACAAAAGCATGACACGATTGAGTTCGTCCCAACAAATCAATGCAATACCACAACCGCCCAGTAATGTAACAGTAACAAACAAGTATATCAACAATAACACGAAAATATCGAGTGGAGGAGTGACGGTAACCACAATTTCACCGCCAAGGATGCAAAGGCCGCACAGTCAGGGACCTTTGACTCTAAATACGAATCAAAACAGTCAAGTAAGAGGAATTTCAGCCCTTTAGAAGTTTTTTTTAATCAGTATTGAAAGAAATCCATCAGAATTTGTATCAGAAAAAAATCTAGATCTGATTTAAATATTTTATTATTTTTAAACCACGCAATTCAGAAATATTTTAAATCAATTTTCTTATGTAGAATGAACCAAGAAAACGTAAATTGTAAAAATTAAGCCGCTCAAGTTGAAATAAACACTAAAAAATAATAATTAATTTCATCTTAAATGATTTTCACATGTCTGTATCTGTAAAGAAAATTTAACCTCAAATATCTGTACGATGAAGCAACGACCACCAGGATTTACATACTATTTTATTCACAAACATCCTCATTAAAAAAAAACAGAAAGGCAATAAAGAATTTGTCAAATTTTCAAAAACATGATATACAACAATTCAGATTGGGAAGTGGCCATTTCTCAACCTAAGCCTGATAATTCATATCAATTGTTAAACGAAGTTGAAATGTTTTACTTTCTAACTGCATCACATGCAAAGTAATTTGATTATTACTTTATGATTGTGAATAAAATAGTTTGTTCTAATTTTTAAAATAAGAGAAGCACTTTGATAATGTTAATAACATTTTGATTTAGAGTGAACCAAGGGACATGAATCTGGAAAATTTCCGTACAAACTAAACCGTTCCGAAATCTGGAAAAGTCCCAAAGACTAAAGTTTTGTTAAAAAAAATTTCAAATAAACAAAATTTCTAATTTATCAATCATACATTTTAGATATGTGGAAAATGTTTCGTCTTACGTGAAATGAACTGTGAACTTGGAATTTGTATGTTCCTAAAAAATTAAAACGTCTCGGAGTAATCCGATAAAGTCCGAACTATCTTCGTAGAGTCGTGAAAATTTTTTAATAAACGCTAAAAAATTGTGACAAACGTAGTTTTAAGCGGACTGATTTCATAATCAATTTTGATTTGAACGAGTTTAAAATTATTATTTGATATCAGGTTTTACGATTAAATTAATCTAATAGTTTCATTTTTTATATGTATATGGAATCTGAATTTGTGAGAATTTTCCGGAAAAACAAAGCCGTTCCGGCGTATTCAGATAAAATTTTACAAATATGTATAAAATTGTCATTTTCATAATGTAAACTCTAAGACAACCTTTACATTAATAACCTCATTTTTTACTCTTGTCATGTTTATGTCATTTGACTTCTTTATTTCAAAAATAGTGATTTCGTGGCATAATAACGGGTAGGCAGCAGATCAAAGCGATGATTTAATTACACTTAGTTCAATTAATAAATTTCCTAAAACCGACAAATTGTTTAATTAACAATTTTAACAACAACAAAAATAAGTTTAATTGTCAAATATCAGTCATAGTGACTGTAAAAGGTAGTTTACAGTGAACTTTTTAAAGTTCCAGAAAAATACTGCCCGAAATTTTAATTCCGCAACTGTACTTAAGAGCTAAAAATAAAATAAAAAATGATAACTTCTAATGAATTGATTTAAATAATTTCGTTTTATTCAAATTGTAGCAATTTTCTTATAATTCGGAAATGACGAATAAATATAGTCGTTTTCATGGCCAATAATACTATTGAACCCTAGGTGATATTTTTCGAAAACTTTTATATAAATTTACCTATGTTGCTAATAGATTTTTACTTCTCTTATCGCATACATACTAAATTATTGTCGTAAGGATGTTTTCCAAATAAGTAGGATAAGGAAAGTCGTGTGATGTTTACACCAGATTTTTTTTTGTTACAATCTTTTACAGTCACTTGTTATTTATATTGTAAAATGAATGTTGAATTTTTTTTGCTTACAGGTAACTGTTACACCACTACAAATTACATCACCACAAAGTTCAAACGCCGTCACAGTCAGTTCCGTATATACAGGCCCTATTTCCAGTGGACAAGTGTCCGTTTTGACTAGTAATTCCAACAGTGCAGTCACTCAGACTATTCCCGTGGGTTCAAACACTGTCTTAGATTCGTCAAGTTCGCAGCTAACGCCTATAACTTCAACTATGGGCAGCGGTAAGATTTTCGGATCAAAGTGTCCTTTGACTTTGTATTTAAGTTGGCAATACTAAAAAACATCGAGTACCTAATCAAAAAAAATTGTTTAAGTTGGCAATACATCCGAATAAATAGAAACACAACATAGAATCTTGTCAATATTTGTCAAGCAAAATCGTTACTAGCTGCAGATAATTCTCTCTTAATTCTGTTACCAATTCAAAATATTATCATCAACCGGGTTGCCAACTTAATTTCAGTCACAGGCACGTTGGCAACAAATTTGAAATCTTAATTTTGGCCACATTTTATAGTCAATTATCATTTGTTTTTTGGGCCCCCCCGGCCGCTGACAACACCTGAAACAATCTGATATCTAGACTATTTCAGTGTTGCCAATATATTTTTTGTCAGAATTATTTACCGACACTTGGTACAGGTTTGTCAATATTTTAGGTAACGTGAGTGTTACCAACCCCGTGACTGTAATATCCCGTCGAGTGAATAACACAAGTGTGACTTTATTAAATACAAACCAGAATTCTTTGGCCAATCAGAGAATGAGCGTCTTTGAACCTTATCCAATGAGAGATACAATCCAACACTTTTGTGAAAAACATTTAGACAAGATTAAGGCTTATATGGATAAGGTTTCGATAAGAATACCTTCTCCGGCGAAATGTACAATTGAAGAAAAACGCCAAAAGAAATCTGCAAAGTTGCATTTTGCTTGTCAAGGTGGTGGTCAACATTGTTTGTATTCCAAAACCTACTTTACGATGCGAACGCGAAATCCAAGGATATGGATTCATCTCATGTTTATTTCGCTTCAGGTTAGTGTTTAGAATTTTATACAGGTCTGTTTTGACTAATTTGTTTTTGTTTTAGGCGCGTCATGCGCACGCTTTGAGCTCCCGAGATGCTCAAGTCGCCAGTTTGAAGCATTGTTGGGATATGTTAAAATGCGAAAATAAATCGTTTTTAACGGTTGTCACGAGCGCTTTTCCTTGTCCTAAAGATCAAGAGACTCTTATCAATGAACTGAGACATTCCGGTTATTTCGATGTGTTCCAAATATGCCCTACGAACGTGGGAGGTTCGGCAGATCAGCTTGATGGCGGGTCTTTCAAGTGGGGATGTTTCCTGTGTGCGCATCCTGAGCGAGCTGTAGGTTTCCTGAGAGGTACGAGTTCACATATTTTTTACTATTTAATCAACATTAATTAGACATTTCAAAAAGTTTAAGAGGTAGGTAAAATTACCACCAAATTTATTAGTTTTAAACAGATGAAATAAATTTTATTCTTGTTCAAAATATCTCGTAAAATTTGACTAAAACCTGAAGCCACTTCCATCAAATTTTATTAAAATAAGGCAGTAAAAGCGATTAAATGGAAAAATTAGTCAAAGATAAATGTATTTTAGAAACGTTATAAATGAGTTTTCGGGAGGAAACCGAATCTGTAAAATTTTTTTGGAAAAAAATAAATCAATCCAGAGTAGTCCGGATTCCTGTTTCGTCGAAAATTTTTCAAATAAATGCTAAAAAAATTGAACAATACACAATTTCAATTGCATTGATTTAAATAATGCTGCTTCATGGGTGTTTTTACAGTTTTTCTTATAATTTTGAAATTACGGTTAAATAGGTTTCAACGGCCTGAAATACTAAGATTAAACAATATAAAAATTAGGTAATTTATGGTCCAAAAATAACATTTTTCTCCCAATTTTAAATTCTTTATCATCGGGTACCGGTTTTGGCCAATTTGGCCTTCATCAGCCCTACCTACAAAAAAATATTATTACATAGTTAGATCACACTCTACTAACTTACGTCAAATTTCATATTAAAATACAAACTTTACCATTACACATCAAATTACATATAAAATTAAAATTTAAAACAATTAAAATCAATTAAAACTACCATATCTGTTTATTATTTGTTTTTAATTTCAATTTTATATGTAATTTGATGTGTAATGGTAAAGTTTGTAAAGTATTATAATGTGAAATTTTCTTGACGTAAGTTAGTAGAGTGTGATCGAACTATGTAATAATAATTTTTTGTAGGTAGGGCTGATGAAGGCCAAATTAGCCGAAACCGGTATTCGATAATAAATAATTTAAAATTGGGAGAAAATTTTTATTTTTAGACCATAAATTACCTAATGAAATAACCCCAAATGGAGGTAACTACATAACTTAATATAAAAATTTGTATCTGTACAAATCCTTTTTTTGTGGAAAATTGGTCAAGAATTGTAATAAATCTGTAATAACATTGATTAGGATAAATAATTTCAGAGAAATTCGTCAAAATTTTTCTTGTAAAAATCTGCAACTGTACAAATATTTCCAATTTTTAAACCACACATTTTCGAGAGATGGCAAAAGACTTTTTTATATAAAATGACCCGAAAAATCCAAATTTGATTTTCCGGAAAAATTAAACCATCGATAAGTAATCCGATAAAGGGGGGACTCTCGGGTTTTTTAAAAGCTTTTTAATAAACGCTAAAAAAATTTGATACCCAGTTTTAAGTAGACTCATTTGATAATCCGTTTTTATCCGAATTTTACCGATTTATCTATAATTTTGAGATTATGGTTTTAATATTGTTTAATATTGTTAGTTTCAACGGTCCGAAAAACACGATAAAATAATTTAAAAATTTGTAAATTTTATATAAAAATCACTTTCTTGTTGAATGTTAGCCAAAGATTACGAATCTGTAAAATACAGACTAGGATAAATAGTTTCGAAGAAATTGGTAAACTTTCTCCCGGAAAAATACGGAGCTATAAAAAGATTTTCTAACCTGGTAAATGACTTTTCTTTTGTAAAATGTGCAGAGGAATCTAAATTTTCGAGAATCCTCCTTTAAAACTAAGCTGGGATCAGGTAAATTTATCAAATTAGCGTTTATTTACTTTAAATAGCTAGTCTCAAGTAAATTAATTTAAATAATACCGTTTTATCTAAATTGTATCTATTTTTCTGAGCATTTTTCGGATACCTTCATTTTATTGAAAAATTCACAGTTTTACGTAGATTGACTTTAAACGGTTTTATCTGGATTTTGATGATTTTTCTTATAATTTAGAAATTCCGGCTAGATAATCAAGTTTCCACGACTTGAAATTTGGTTGAGTAAATTAAATATTTTAAATGCAAATTCTGTGTAAAAATCGCCTTTTTGTAAAAAAAAATGGGGTAAATACAGGCTGTTCCGTTTTTATTGTTACAAATTTAATCTACTATCGTAGAATATTCAATTTTATGACAAAAGTTTCCTATGAATATGTATCGCAAAATACTATGCAAGGAAGTTCCATAGTTCCCGAGAAATACGACAAAGTTCCTTTCGGAAAAATGCAGATCTGTAATATTTTTAAGCATTATTAAATTGAAATGTACGTTATTGGTTATTTTTTTATTTGTAATCATTAAAACGATTTTTTTTCGTTTTCGTGGATAGTCCTGTTTTCCAATTTTTTTGGAAATAATAAAAATATTTCACAAAAATCAGATATTACGAGTTTAAAGAGTGACTTAATTTGAAAAACAGGAGACACACAACCGGTGATCGAAGGCCAACTAAAGGAGAAAAAAGGTCGCTGGAGGCTCTTCCGCCGTTGGAGGACGCGTTACTTTACTTTGTCTGGTGCTCACTTGTCTTGTAAAGGATCGGTAAGTTCGAAACCTGTGACATTTTTCCTTTTTTTAAACTAATTGTTAAAGAGTGGTGGAGAATCCATTGACGTTAATCAAATCCGGTCAGTGAAAGTGTCTCGAGGGGCGAGGAACATACCTAAAGCATTTGAAATATTCACAGGAAATCAAACCCTGATTTTGAAGCCTAAAGATGGCAAGAATGCCGAAGAGTGGGTCCAGTGTTTGAGTATAGTCGTTGCACATTCCCACGCTAAAGAGCTACCAGGCAAAAGCAATTCATTACCCGCAAGGGGTATCAGTTCTAGTCGTACTGTTATATAAATATTTATTTTTCACAAAACTGTAAATTACAAAAAGGTAACTGAAGATATTTGGTGCTAAGGTCCAAAATTTGGGTACTGAATTGAAATACAACGCTCTCTGTGATAAAAGTTAGCATCAGGAAATTTTCGACTGATTTTATCACTGCTGATCAGTACTCAGATTTTTATAAACAAATCGTAGATTTACACTTATAATATATTAATATTTTTTTGATGACTGTATCAAATTTTGTACTTAATTTTTATATCATTATTTTGTAATTTATAGCCATTGTTTTTATATTTTTGTTTTGTTTTTATTTCATTTGCCACGAAGAATTTTCACACAAATGGAAAATTCCTTGGCACGTTTAACACATTACATTCCATTAATTTTTTTATGACAAAGCATAGTCAGCCCCATTCTGACTTTGCCAAGTATATATTTTATTATATCCTGTTATACAATAATAAATACATTATTTTACAATACGTGTCTTGTACCTATTTCATTTGATAGATATTTTTTCTGTAAGTCTTTTAAAACATCCCAAAAGATCAGACATAAAGCACTGTGTGGAGCCAGTCTCATATAATTTGCACCAATTCCTTTATACAGACCAGGGATTCCCTCGCACTTGTAAATTTTGATAAAACAGTCTGCTATTCCTTTGTACAGCAGTCCTCGGCCCTGGGCGTCCGTAGCTACAAGAAAGAAAGCATCATAAAAATTTTGGTCCGTAAAGAAGTGCCTTAACGAACTCATTTTATTATTTAATTTCACGTTCAGCATAATATTTCAAAAATGAAAATTTAGCAAAAAGGTTTATTTTGTTATGCTTTGATTGAGCTTTAACTTTAAAAATTAACAATTTTGTAGCGTACATAAAGATTTGTTTACATTATTTTTGAAAAATAAGAAATTAATCCAAGATTTTACCAAGAAGTATCGAGTGATCAAGAAAGACTGTTAGGGTTGGCAATACTGAACTTCACTTTTAATTGGTATAACTGAAGTAATTTTAGTAATACCGAATAAGACTTTAACAGTTAAAATTAACCTGCGACTTTGAAATTAGGTTGGCAATAATGAATATTGTAAACACCGAATAAGATTTGTTAATAAAAAAAATATTGGCCACACTGAACTAATGGTGATAAGGTTGTTTCAGACTTTACCGACCACTCCTCGCATATAAATGACAAGTAACTATGTCAATATATCACTTCACTCTTCGTGCCATTATTTTAATCGCATCAATGGCAACGTTGCAACTATGTTTTTTGGAGTGAAATATTTCAAAGACATCTGATTTGTATGTAAAAGAAGAATCTGTATAACAACTGGAACCTACTGACAAGATTAGAGCCAAAATACTCCACTACTTCATACAGAAAAAAACATTATAAAGTGTAAAGGGGAACATGGAAAAAATGTTAAAAAAATTTTATCTATAAAAATTTAAAAGATATGAGAGTTTAAATTTTGCACTTTGACTCTATTCATTTCTGTTAAAAAAATAATTTTCCAAGTTTTTTTTGCTACAAACAAGGAAGCTGTATCCTAAATTATAACTCTGTTTAATGTTATTTGTGACTTTTATTGGCAAAATTTTTGTACCTTTACTAAATAATTGTAAAAAAACATGTACAAGATCATCAGTATCATTAAACAGACATAAAAAATATCAAATGTCAAAAAATAAATGAATAATTTTTTGACAGATAGAATTTTTTAAACATTTTTTCCATGTTCCTGGTATCTTATCTAACTTGAAATTTTTCTCTGGGGTGCGAGTTCTGGCGCACTCTTTATATCTCGTGCGATATCTATCGCCACTTCTGTCACTTTTCACAAAGTTTTTTCTATATGAAATAGTGGAACCTTCTGGCTCAATACTTGCCATTAGGGTTCAGTCGTAATACAGATTCTTCTTTTACACAGAAATCAAATGTTTCTGACCTATATCACCTTAAAAAACGCAGTTGCGGCATTGCCAATGTAGCACTAAAAAAGTCCCGAGGTAAATTCTGTTGACATTATTTAATGTTGCCGACTTATTTTAAAAGTTTCAAGCGACTTTGACTGGAAATTTAATCGAAGACATAGCGGAAACTTCAACAATCTTGTTACGTTAAGTAAAACCAAATCCGAATGCAGTTTTGCAAATAGTAGAACAAAAAATTCGACTCAAACAGTCAATTTTTTCACCTTAGGTGTGGCTAAAAAAATGTTTTATTTTCTGTAAAATCCAATACCTTGATTGTATAAGCGTATGGAAACAATATCAAACGGTGCAATAACAAGCGTCTGGAAGACTCCCCCTACAATACTGGCGGCAAATGCAGTTAAAAACGTGGAATGTTTAAACACTTCAAACTCTCTCAAAAAATCTTTAGTTTTGGCAAAACTACTAATCTGGGCCGAAGATCCAGCAACAGCTCTCAACATCACAGCATCAGCTCCCCGCCACAACCCTTGAATCTAAAACCATAATCGTCATAACCCTTAATCAACCTCTTTCATATGCAGTCCAAGTCGCCGATAACACCTAAATTTACTTTTTTTTTCAAAAACTAATTTTTCAAATAATACTATTCATTCCTCGTTTTCTTAGTAAATGCATCAATTTTTTTTGGCACATCCGGTGTAGCCGAAAATGCTACCAAATTTAGTTTTTCAAATGGAACACCTATGTTTTTTTGCTCGAAACAATAATAATTGGCATAAAAAATATGGGACACCATTATTTATTACATTTTACTTTACATAATGCACTCAGAAAACAATTTAAATTTTTGAATTTTATTGCAAATTTTGCAACGTAGGCGGATTTTACTTGTTAAGGTATTCATGCAAAAAGCAATATGCTTGGATACTGTTTAATTGTTAATTTGACAAAGCCTAATTTGTCAATAAATCTTATTGAGATCTTTAATAATGGATGATATTAATTAGGACGAATTGGTAGATCAGCTTGAAGTGTTTTTTAAGTGCAATAAAAATAGAGCGGAAGCTGAAGAAAGACAGTATAGAGAAAAATACTCAAATAGTGTTTACCCAAATCGTTGGAAATTTAGTCGAATTGAAAAACAACTGAGACGAATAGGTTCACTTCTTAAAACTAAAAAAGAAAAGAGAAAAGAGAACTCGCTCATTAACTCAAACTAGATTTGTCAAACCAACAATTAAACTGTATCCAAGCATTTTTTTTTTATTTACACCTTTCGTTTAAAATTAAAAATCAGGCTACGCGACCAATTTCCTTATAGAATTCTAAGATTTAAGATATTTGCTAAATGCATTGTGTTACGAAATATGTAATAAATAGTGGTTTACAGTATTTTTCATGTCAATTATTATTGTTTGTAGGAAAAAAAATAGGTGTTCCATTTGAAAAACTAAATTTGGTAGCATTTGCGGCAAACCGGATGTGCTAAAAAAATTTAATACATTTATTAAGAAAGCCAAGAATGAATATTATTGCTTAAATATTTACTTTTTGGAAAAAAGAAGTGTTATCAGCCGGGGCGACTTGGATCGAACACCCTGTATATTACTTACTCCATGTTGTGAATAAATCCTTTTAACGGCATGCACAAGTCCCGCATGTCCATGCTGGTGTCCGACAGCAATTGTATTGGCCGCTTGTGACTGCAGTTGAGTCTTAATTAGAAAAAGAGGACTTCCACAAAACGCCCCCGCAGCCCCCGTCATGGCACTAGCAAGGAAACTCCGGTAAAAGATTGTTTTGCCTTTTTCGTCACAAATGAAGCCTCGATCACTCAACCATTGATAGGAACCTAATCTTACGCTGTTGCGCACGGTGTGCATTATCATCGCTGTGCCTAAGCCCCTTTGAAGTCCCCGGATTCCCTCGGTTTTGGCCACAACATACGCCGCGTGTAAAACGTTCTTGTAATAGACGGTGTGGTGACCACGGGCACGCAATTCACCCTGGAGTTGCATACGGGTTTTTAGCACGTCGAAGGGGTTGCTGAAAATGCTAGCCCCCGCGGCGGCAATTCCCCCAATTGCGAAATCCATTATATAATTTTATGATTAGTTTAGAGTATTATTAACATCAAACACATTTTATATTTTCTTTGCCCTGAAAAAAAAACTAAAATTAAAAAAATTGCGCTGTAGTGTTGGTTGTCTAACCATTTGATTTTGATTTTTGACATAATTGACACAATCAAAAGTGAGGTTATGTTGGTTAAATAAAGCCCTTACGTTTATATTTTATTACAAATTAGAAATGTTTTTCAAGGTAAAATTTATCAACAACTTCTCTTATTTAAATAATGTATTTACGTACATTTGATAAATTATTAATTCAATAAAATGTTTGTCGTTCTCCAAATTTAGCCCCCAGAATTATTTTGCCAACTAAAAATTTAAGTTATTTTTGAAATTCGTTCTAATTTCGTTGTTTTGATTGCAATGAAGTGTCGAAATAAGTAAGTCACGTGAATAGTTTGTAGGTAACAAAACTTATGCACCGTTAAAAATAAATATTTAATAAATTTAAAACTCACCTATAAAATTGTATTTTCTTTGAATTGTGGCATTTCCTCTTCACATACTAATTAATTTGCTACACAATTCGTGTTTAGTTGCGAACATACCACTTTAGCTGAACTTTCCTATTTTTAAATTGGACTACAAAAATATCCAAGTAATACCCAACAAAGTATTTTATGTCTCATGGGTCCAGATAAATGGGGTACAGAGTTCATGTCTGAATTAGTGACTTAGGAAAAATTCATTTTTTTGTCACTGTTAATAAAATTGTGTAACCTTGCATAATAGCACGCAGATAAAATTTTGGCATCATCTACCTAATTATGAAGGTGTTTGTTATCGCAGATAAAATATTGAATTATGGTTAGTTTTTTTAATAATGTGTAATTAACACAAACAGGAATATGCTAAAAAATAAAATTGTAATATAAAAAAATATGTCGGTGGACTGAAAAGACCTTGAAACTAATTATTCAGCAGCAAATCCGGCTGTTATGCAACAGACACAGTGGCGACTGAATCTAATAACTCAGATATAATTCTTGTTTACATTTATTTTATTTTAATTAATTTTATTAAGGATTATTTATATTAAAAAAAAACAAAATATTGATCCTACAACATTTTTTAACAGACTGGAATTTTAAGAAAAAAAAATAAAATTTGGCAACAAATTGTTTGTTTTAAAGTGAACACCTACTGAAAAATATTGAAATTTTAAATTTTGAAAATTAACTAATTAATATAATTATGTAAAATTACGATTTTTATATCACTACGTGATTCTGATAACAACCGTACAATGTACTTTTGTACAAATGTTGATGATAAGGAGATAAACGTGTGCATAATTAATATACTAATTGACCTAAAAATTTATAATATAGGCAGGGTCATAGAGCCTTCTTTAACCCATCTATAACAAAACAGTAAAGTTGATTTTTTTACTACAAATGTGAAGTGTAAAAAAATAACACTATACACAATTTTTTTCTGAAATGGTAATTCTTTAAATTATGTAAAAAAAAATTTAAAATAGCCAACTAACATGCACACTTTACTATCGTGTCAACTTTACGGATGATTTCGGAAAAAAATATTACAAACAAATGTGTTTTTTTTTTTAATAGCATTACTTATATCTATTTTGGTTGATAAGGCAATCTCTAATACTCGGATAAGACACAAAAATTGCCAACACGTAAATTTTTCCACAAAAATTTGTATACATACAGAATATTTCAGAACTCGCGTCCCAGAGAAAAATGCCAAGTAAGATACCACGAAGAAATGTGTAAAAAAAAAACTGTCAAAAAAATTTTGACATTTATTTTTTGACATTTTACATATTTTATGCCTATTTAATGTTATCGATGATTTTGTATATGTTTTTTCGTAATTATTAAGTAAAGGTACAAAAACTTTGAGATTAGGCTCCTATTGCGGTTACGAACGTAAATAATAAGTATATTATTTTTAGTAGACCAGGGTATTATTAGGGTACCTTACTAAAAAAAAAGAAAATAGTACTTAGTAGTGTTATAATTATGTATTTAATAAAAAAAACACATGAAAATATAAAAAGATAAAAAAACATACATAATTTAAAGAAAAGTGTCGCCAAAATGTTCGGCTGCTCTTTTTACAAAGTTTATTGTATCTATATTATTACACTTGAACAATCTTAAAATTAATTCTAAGTGCGCTGATTTTTTTACAGTATCTTCGATATTTTTTATTACTTCCAACACTGTTTATTGTAATATAAGTGTTAATTTGAAATTCTAACAATGTTTCTACATATAAAAGTATAAATTGACGGGTGGCCTGCATAAAAATTTCCATTAAAATGAGCGTGAAAAGATTCACATGCATTTGTCGTACGCATTGTACTTGAAGAAGCACAAGCCCAAATTTGTGGTTTAAAAGTAGAAATATAATTTTCCACTAAATAGTCCACGTATTTTATTAATTTGGGGTTGTATTCCGGAGGAGCCAATTCCACCAGTTCCAAAAGACAGTCGGCCACTTCTCCAGGATTAACGTATTGAAGGCCAAATGTATATTTTAGCCACTTGCCAATTTCTTTTTTACATTTATAATCTGCTGAAAGACTCACTTCTTGTATCTTTCTCCACCACGCTTGCCTCAAATGAAAGCGACATCCAATTATTTTTACATCGACCCAAACTTTTTTTACAGCGATTAGATGCTTTCTTCAAAGTCAATGGTAACACTTTTTGGATTAAAGTTCATGTTTTTATTTTTACACTTCGACACTATATGTTTTAAACACTTTTCATATGAGTCTTTTTTTATCTTTAAGCAGACAAAAAACCAGTGGCACGTAGTGTTCATTTTTTAGACCGTGGATGGAAAAAAGCTGGGTAAAATATTTAGTGCAATACGAAAATGTTCCGTCTACATAAATTGTTTCGCACTTACATAAAAATCTTAGATTTTTCTCACAAGAAAATATGATAATATTTTCTTCTCGGTTGTTGACTAGTACAAAATTTTCGTTGTCAACAGTTTGAAATAATTGTGCATCTACGGCAGAATGCACATCTTCTATACATTTTGGTAATGCAGGGAAAATTTTTCGGCGGGCATTATAGACAGTCAGTCTTACAGCTGCTTTGTCTGCACATTAATTTGATCTTTCTCGGCTAACGTCTTAATAACACCATTAAACACTTTAGACGGCCTCGTGGAAATGTCGTCCGTTGCTTTCCCTTTGGCAGAAGAACTAATAATCTGTCGTTGAATTTTCCCTTCATCGGAGTTGTGATTGTGACTCAGATGCACTTTTGTCGAAATTCGGTCACTTCCTTCACCAAGCGTATACAGTTTTGCACCACATTTTTTATTAATACACCTCCACTTTGTTTCCCCCGTTTTTAAACACGTTGACTTAGAAAATTTAAAGTTTTCAACCACTAATAATGGGTTTCCTCTTTCACTAAGTATTTCTGTAAAACTTGTCGTTGCCATTCTACTTGTACACCCGGGGAAAAAACTATTCACCAGTCTAACTTTGTACTCGGGCTGCGCTTTGTCGCAATAGCGTTTCAGACTAACTAGTTGGAGAGCAGGTCAAAAAACCCTTATTTAGGAAGTTGGTCCGAACTCGAAAAATGTCTTTTTGTGAAAATTACTTCAATGAGCATAGATTATAACGTATACATTAAATTGTGATTATAATAAACAAGCTTGCTCAAATTATTTAATTACAAATACATACATTTATTTAAGAAATGTATGTTGCAAGTATACAGTTCCGGATTAAGGAATTTTTTTTAGCTTGACTTGACTTTTAAGATTTTTTATCTACAACTTTCAAAAATCAAGATTGGAGAACTAGTTTTAAATGCCAGAAATTTTAAATAAACTCTGAATTTTGCCAATTTCTATCAAGTTATTTCTTTTATAATCAAAATTCTGAACTTAATACATAATACATTTTAAGGAAACAAGTTTTTACCTTTGATTTTACGCCCAGAAAGCAAAGGAAATACTTTTTTTTCTATATCAGATATTAAACTATTTCTTTATAAATTCTTTTGAGTAGATAAAGTAACACTTTAACAGCAAGGGTTAATTTTGCTTTATCTGAAACGAGCAAATCTGTAATTAAAACTTCATTATTCTGAGTCAGTGGAAAGAAAAGTTATTTTTTTTCTTACTTTTGAACTTGTAATAATAATCTTTCTTTGCTTTTCAAGTCCCATCACATTGGCGATTTCATTTTTTTGACCACGATGTCACTTTGACAATTAATTAATTAAATAAATAATGTTTGTTTTTGTTAAAAATGACTGTTTTTTAGAAGCTGTTTTTTTGACTTGCCATTTATTAAAATTATCTTTTTTTACAAACATTTTTGTTATTTAACTAGCTATTTGTTAATAAAATTAAAAGTAAATCACAAAAATTTGTTTGTTAAGGTAATGAAATACATAGGCATGCATTTTTTTCTCTAAAATTTGCTTAGTGTCATTTTGCAAATTATTATAATCACCATTTAATATACTATACTCGTTGAAGAAATTTGCAGGAAAAGACCGTTTTGAAGAAACGTGTGTCCCCGAGTCCGGACCAACTTCCTAAATAAGGGTCTTTCGGCATATTACCTGCTCCCCAACTAGTTAATCGGAAACCCTATTGCAACAAAGCGCAGTGTGAGCAGAAAGTTAGACTGGTGAATAGTTTTTTCCCCGGGTGTACATATAAACTAATGAAATTGAACATTGTTACTGTATGATTTCGAAACTTTACGGAGACGGTTTTGTTGTGGTGCTTTCAGGTATAAATTCTCTCTAATGTTTTATTAGCATTGTTGTAATATTGCTACCCGATTTTGGATTGCGAATTATTTAATTTTGGATTACCTCTTAAAGTTATCGACTTGGAAACAACAATCTATATTTCGCTAGTTGTAAAAGTTCAAAAAAGCGTCGCAATCCACTTTTATTTTTGATTTTGAAATTTTAACTAGACGATTTTCTTGTCGGACTCGCAAATATAATTTTATACTTTTAATGTTTTACATATTAGGATCCTTTTAATATTATCGTAGATAATTCCCAATTTAGTTTATATAGGTTATAGGTTATATAACTTTGGTTATAAAATATAAATAAATAAAAATCAAAGGAAATAATTTTTATTCAATCCTTTATATGAAATTTTATCGTCTAGATGATAAAAAATACATGACTCGGCTGACGCCTCGACGCTAAATTGCTCTCAAAGATAAAATACAATTTTATCGTCTTGTATAATAAATAACTATTAGTGGCATACTTCTGGACGCTCTTGGATCAATTATTTCCAGAAGTAGTGCCTTCATGTAAAATTTCTCCAACTTCGACTCCATTTTTTCCTTCCATTAGAATTGATTTGATTTAAATTATTTCTGTTTTCAATAGGTTTTCTCCAGTCCACACACATAACAAAACATTTTTGCTCGTTGGTTACGTGCAGCTGTCCCTGGATTTAATAAAACCAGTCATGATTTTTATTAATTTCAAAAACACTTTCGGATTTAATTTTCCAAAACGTGATTAGTTTCTTTTTTATGACTTCCTCTGGTGCATATTTTTGTTTAAAAGCTGTATACGGACATTTTATTTCTACAATCATTTCTTCCTTTATACCGTCTGGCAATGCTCCCAAAAAAAACTTTCCTGTCAATAAATAATCCGCAGCTTTCAACAAAATATTTTCCCCCTTTTCAGCACTTAGTTTCCTCTCCAACGCGCGCGTTTTGTATTTATTTAATTTTACGAGTTTTTGATATATTTTTTTTGGGGCAGGACCGGATTGCGGCGATGGTCAAATTATTTAATAATAATTTAATAATTTAAAGTTTTCATATTGAGAGTTTTCATCCCCCGTTGATTTAATCTGATAAGACCTATCGGTGTTTAATAAAGATTCAGAATATGCAATAAAAAAAATGTACAACGACCCAATTGTAATAAAATTATAATTTTCATTTACGCGAAAGGTAAAAATTAAACTGTATAATAGTTATTTACATTCGTGTGCGGTAACTTACATTTTACAGTGCGAAA